TTCGAGTTTCATTAGGAATTAAGGTAAAGTCAGGAATAGAATGAATGTATTTCGAATAAAATTATTAAGAATTTAAATTAGAAATAAGGGAAATTTACATACATAGGATGTAAATGTTGCTGTTTTTAAAAAATAGAGCGAATTGAATCACGCTTAAAAAAATTATTTTTTACCTAAATTTAATATTATAAATTTAAAACTAACTTCTTTGTTGTGCTAGCAATAATTGATATACCTGGCCTTTGATAGAGCCATAAAATTTGAATACTATATATATATATATATATATATGTATGTATAATGATAAAAAAAACTTTTGTAAAATGCTCTCCAATGTAACTTTCTCAAAATATCTGAATAAAATATTATTCACCCATTTATCTTAAATTTTTTTATAGTCGACTTTAACAATATTCACAGCAAGGAAATTTTTTTTTTTCAACATTTACTCTAGCAATAGTTAGAACAAATGCTAATCTCATTAGCTTAAAAGTAAGATGGTATAAGATATTATTTTTAATCTGATTATCAAGAAATACTAAGGGTCTGTTTGGGGCAACTGCAGCTTATCTAGCTTATGCTAATAAGCAGCTTATTTTGATAACCTGCTAATGAACAGCTGATCCGGGTAAACTAGCTGGCTGTTTGGTTTGTACGTTTGGAAAACAACTGATTCTGGATAAATGTTCATTTTGCCCCTGTTCTGAATAAACTGTTTATCTGTTTGGTTTGTGTGTTTTGTAAACAGTTTATTTGCAGATTTTTTATAGTTAAATGATCAATCTGTCACGCAGAATTTGTAATTTTCTCATACAGACCACCAAAAATTTGAATTATTAGAACAAATTAACCCCCTTTAGACTAATTCGACACATACAGACCACCAAAAAATTGCAGCATAAGATTAATTCATATAAAATGTAAAAAATTTGTAAAATTAAAGTTCACATGTTAAGACATGAAAATATAAAAGAATTTAGTTCATGGAATGATTCTCATCAAATGTTATGAACCAGTTTAACAATTTATATGAGTTTGTCAATGTAAATACCGCCATGAATGAAATAATTAAATATCAAACTAAAAAATGAAATTCAGAAATGAAATCACCAATAAAAAACCCCAATCTCATTTATATCATTAACAAAAATGTTACATTTGCTCTCCACATTTTTTGTTCAATCCCCTGCTTGCAAGTCCCCAACAGAAGGTAAACTGTTCCGTTCTTCTCCTTCCCCATCCATGGCTTCAATCACCACATGGTGAACAAAATCCCTCCTTTTCGTCGCCATACTCCATACTCATCATCCTCAGCTTCCGACTCCCATACATCGAACTCAATGGTTCTCTTCGGCGAGACCCACTTCCCCTTCTTCGAAATGGAGTAGAGCTCCTCTTCTCCCAAAACAAATAGATGGCGAAGAAGCTAAACAAACACAACAGACTTCCTGACGACTCCCCATCACCTGCGGCGACCTCCCCGCCTCCCTCGCCACCAACCCTTACCGACCGCCTTTCATCCGCAATGAACGCCTCTAATGGAGATCCTAAATACCATCCGAGTTCCGATCTCGATTGTCGACAAAGATTTTCCCGTTACCCAACCTCTTCGGATGCGTATGAGGGCACACGAGTAAAATTTCGAGCAAAAATGCGGACCGCGGGTGTCGTCCCGAGGGCTGCGTGTTTTACAAAATTAAAAATGCGGTTTTTATTAATTTGTAAATAAGTGCGAAACAAACGGAACGACGGCGTTTTCAAAATACGGTCTGCACTTATAAGTTGGCTTTTTTATAACTTTAGGATTGTAACTGTTTGGATTGTAACTTCGCGGGGGCGGATTGCGGAAGCTGGGAAAGCAGGTCGCGGCTCTCGCACCGCAAATTTCACAAATCGACCTCGCAACATTACTCCTATTGCCCCAGCGTCCTTCCCCGCAGCTACACCCCTTCTCACGCGAACCCCCTGCGCCACTTCTTCCTCGACTAAAAAAAATACCGTGCCTCTTCTTCCTCGACCGAAAAACAACCGAATTCAGGTAATTCGTAACCTTCTTGTGTAGTCGCTTGAAGCGGATCTTTCATCTAATACCTAACCTTCTATCGCGAAGCCCCCTGCGCCTCTCCTTCTCTCTTTCTCGTTCCTCCCATCTCCACCTTTTGATTTTTTTGGTTCTGGAGTAGTTGGTAACTGTATGTAGCCATCAGTTGAGTTATTGTGGTAAATTCTGAGGGGATAACAAACAAGCGTATCTGATTTACATAATGAAATGTTTTCTGGCTCCTATTCACTTTAGGATGTTAGGCATCCAAACAAAATGGATTTTAGGCAATACAAAATTGCTATGCGAGTTTGGCTGTAAAATTCATTTACTGCCTGCAAAATTGCTATTAATTTCTGCTGCACATCTTACTATTTATTTTTGGAGTTTAAATTTTTGAGATGGACAAAAACGTTAAATCCTTTGAATGATGCATTATTGAGCTTGATTTGTGTTCCATTGTGGCTCCTGTTCTTGGATGGTAGCTTGATTCGTGAATACTTTGTCAAGCAAGTGTATCCGATCAGACTGTCTTCAAGATTTAGCTTGTCTTTAGATTCACGAAATAATTTTCATCAACTCTTTTCAAGTCAACTTGGACAGTTTTACTTTGTTAGCTTTCATCAAACTTGCTGCATTGCCTTTCGCCTTGATCCACTCGAATTGTTGGAATGTTTAGATATGTACGACCAGCATTATTTTTAAAATTTGGTTCAAGAATATTTGTTGAGGTGGAAGAATGGAGGAGAGTTGTAACCATAGCTATGGTGGATTTCCTTTAAAATGTTTTTTGTTATGCTACAATACAGTGTTTGGTTATCATAGGTTGGAAACATGAGGCATGTGTTGGTTTCCTACTTGTAGTGCTTTGTTAAACAGATGGAACATGCAGGGCATGTCTACAGAAATTGAAAATGTCAACTCTTTTTTGTTCTCTTTTTTGTTCTATCATTCATTTCTTGGATGAAGTGAGAAATTACAAGGAAATAGAAGAGGTTATCTCCATTTTGTGAAGTATGTGGTTGGGACATTCACATACACACCACACATTTCTGATATATTTTTATATAACTTTCATTTGATGTAGTTTCAATTTTTCTTGTTATGAATTTATTAAAAACTGCTTCTAATATTATTTGATTTACATTATGCCCTCTCCAGTTTTCTAAATTGTGTTACTGATGTCTCTCATTGCTTTGTTTTATCGTAGTATTAAAATGACTAATAAGTCTAAAGAGCTTGGTACACCAACATTGTGAGAAAAAAAAAATAGAAATAATATTTTGCGACCTTTGCCTGAAGGAAATTTAAACGGAGAATAGACTTACCACATTTTTCAATAAGGAAGGGTGGCAAAATATTATTAAAAATTTCAATGAATGTACAAGAAGAGAGTATGCAGGCTTAAAAAAAATTGAGATCAGCTCAAGAAGGATTGAAAAATTTGGAAGGATTTAAAACGAGGATCAACAAGTTTGGGTTGGGACCCGGTGAAACGAATCATTGATGCTCCAGAGGAGTGGTGGACAGAAAGACTTGCGGTAAGAAATTTTTCAATCTATCTAATTTGCGTCATATTAGTTTTTTTCAAACTAACTGAAGCGTTTAATGGTTTTTTTGCAGGTGTTGCCCGCAGCGAAGAAGTCCAAATTTTGTGGACTTGAACCCTAGTTCGAGGAGAAGTTAGACTGGTTGTTTGGGGGTGTCGTCGCAACAAGCAAATATGCATGTGTTCCAAGCGAGACATGGTTTGGTGGTACCCCTGACAATGTAGTTGTTAGCCTATCAGCTGATTCACCTAAATTCCACAGACAGACTCCCCGAAATCCAGTTCACCAATCGGTCTAACCGCCTTCGTGTGGAGAGTAGGAAAAAGGGTAGAGCTCTCTCTATTATAAACCATATATCATACCTTATAGATTCTCCCCATAAAGTTCAGAGAACTTCAATTAACGAGGTCGTGCAAATTTTGGAAGAAAATCAGGATATTGCTGAGGACTTTGATCTATACTTTTTTTGTTATGGAGTTGTATCAAGTTTTGGTCCACATAGATTTTTTCAAAGCGATTGCGAAAGAACAACGGGTGGTGTGTTTACGCCAGTTTTATGCTCGCAGGGATAATTGAGGGATAATTATTTTTATTTGCTATTTGTTGAGAGACGTTTTTATTTCATCAGTTATTTGTTGGAATATTTTACTGTGATATTGTATTTTCTCATATTATGCTTGTTTTATATTCGAACGACCTCATCCTTATCTATTTCTTATGCTTGGTTCATGGTTTTTTTTGGATTTACTAATTTTTGTTTCTTTTTTGGTAACACCTATAAAATGTTCACTTTTTCTGTTGGGCAGACGGTTCGGCGATTCTCTTGACGGTGTTGATCGAGAATGAAGAACGTCATTTGAGGGCAGTCTAGCACGAGAGCTGCATCGTGTAAATGTTATAAATAACATAATCATCTTGTTAATTCTCATTGTAATTGTTTTAGACTTCTTTTTTGCTTTCTTGATATTCAGTGTGACGTAAGATGCGCACCTGTAATTCTTTATTGTTTTCAGTTGAAGTTTTGCCTTAAAAGTAGTTCTTCATGATTATGAAATTTGATGTGATATAAATGATGAGTTGTTGAAATACAAAAAAAAATTTACTATTGCAGTGATAAGTCTATTTTCTTTGGCATCATTTACATATATACCGCCTAATTCATATATATTTACGGATCTAAAAATAGATTATAGCATTATTCTTACAGATTGATTACAAAGTTGCTTGTCGAAGATGGCTGGTGAGCAATTCATTATAATTTATTTATATGAAAATTGTTGTTTTGTTGAATTGTTGCTGGATGAAGTTATTACAAACATTGAGTTATTTACATATTTTCTAATCACTATGTCATGATGTATGAATTTTAAATCATAAAATAATAAGCTATGAATTTGTAAAGTAAGAAATAATTTGAGAACATTTCTTAACTTTGGATTTATTGCATCACTTTTTAAAATATTATTCTTTTACAATACTTTGGAGAAAATATATTTATTACATTAATGCTACCCAATTCTTTCTTGCCTTTGATCAGGCTTGTATTTCATATTCTTACCTATCTAACACTTAAATTTATTCCATATATTAATTGATTCCATATATATACCTATCTAACACTTAAATTTTATTCCATAACCATAATTAATTTCATATATTTATATATCTAACATCTAATTTTACTTTATTACATTTATGCTATCCAATTCTTTCGTATGACCTCCAAAATAATATGCAAATTTTCCTAAAAATTAAAGTTTGTGTTAGATATGCAAATAATAAAGAATGTGTTGCATATGTGTATTTATTCCAACACAATAATTGTTAGCATTTTTGGAGCTCACTGAAGTATCAAAAATATGATTGTTATAGTTTTCTTTTAAACAGTTTTATTAAACAGGAGTAGTATAGTCATTTTTTCAGAAACAACTGTCCAACAATTGGTTTCACACAGCTGCACCAAACAGGAAGCCAGCGTCCCCGCAACAATTCCTTACAGCAGCTTCCCCGCTTCCTGTGGCAGCACAGCTACAGCTGAAAAACTGAGAAGTTGCAGCTGCCCCAAACAGACCCTAAAGACCCGTTTGGTCCCGTTTGGGGCAGCTTAAGGGCACGTTTGGGGCAACTTAAAACTGCGGGAGGCGTTTTCAAAACGTCACAGTAGTGTTTGTTTCTCACGTTTAAGATGCATTTTAGGATACGACGTTTTTTATTTACATGTGACGCGGACCACGGGGTTATACCAGTGATCTGCATTCGCCATCCACGTTCGCCCTTTTATTTACACCTGTGCCCTCGCTCGTTTGCCCAGGAAGCGTCGCTCTTCTGCCGAAAACTAGCCGCCGCTCCTCTGCCCTACCTCCGCTGCTCCTGTGCCAAAAGCCAAGCGAGAACTTGAAGACCCACAACTGAATAGGAGGTGAGGGGAGCGAGGCGAGCAGGTATCCATTTCTTTGGCTGTTGAAATGCTAGGGTTTTTCACCTTTGTAAGAAATTCTGCATAGCTTTGTAATTTCTCTTTCCACTGTCTTACACCGAAGTACAGAGCCTTGTGATTTCTTCTTCTTCTCGTTTCGTCGAACTGTTCTGATTGGATTTGGTTGCTTACCCCTGTTGATTTTTTTTTAATGTTTTGTTAATTGATATCTTGAGTAGGTTTGTCTGCGCGTTGATGGGAGTTGGGATCCTGCTCTATTTTTTGTCCTTACCCGGAAATATTGCCTCCCAAACCATCAGCAGTTGTTGTCTCTGCTTTGTATCCGAGGGAAGAACTCTTATTTTTTTTGTGCTGATGTTTTTTTTTCTTGGTTATTTGCTCCGTTGCATTGGTTTATAATGAATTTATGTCTTCTGCACCAAATTTATTAAATTATTCTTTTTCTAATGTTTAGTTAAATTTTAATTGTTTTAAATTGACATGAAAACGATATGTACTGAAGTCATAGTGTTCATGTTGAGATTTTCCTTGCATAGATTAAAATTGAACATATATTTGCACTCTTGTTCGAACAAATGTACAATTAGATTCCACGGAGCAAAGAAATGGAGGGTAATTCCTCCCTGCATAGAGTTTCACCTGTGTTTCCTTCTACCTCTCATTCACATACTTTTTGTAGAATTTGTTTCTTGGTAGTTCTTCTCCTTTCTCTCATAATTTTCATTTATTATTGAAAATTTCTTAAAAAATTAACAATGCAAGAATGTATTGTTCTAAAAGTGTTGTGGAATTTATACTTTGGCTTGTGTTATAATTTATTTCTTTTTAAGCACATAGAAATTTATTGTTTGATTTTGGTTTCTATTGCCAACACAATCTTGCTTGAAATTCACAGTTTATTTCTTAAATATGTTTTTTGGGCACCATGGTTATGATACATGGTAGTTTATTTCTTTTTAAGCACATTAGATATGTTTTATTATACACTGATAACTCCACTGCTACAGCCTCCTGTGTTATAGAGTATGGTTTCTGATATGATATGATGATAATTTTGATGAATATAACAACAATTAGAATCCTGGAATCCAATAACTCAAAACACCATGAATTCCTCATCGGAAGGAAAACAGCTGCTGTCACTTTATCAACTAGGAAGTCCACACATTGTAGAGATATATTGCAGTCCAAACAAGGAGATAGATTCAAAATAAGCTGCACAATTCTGGGGAGTGTAGCATAACACCTTTTTTTTTAATGGTCATGGCTTGTGTGGGGCTTCACAATTCCCAGGCAACCCGTGCAGCCATGTTATGACTCCGAGGATGGATCAAAAGATAATAAAAGATTGTTTGATATCTTATTAACAGAAATTAACTGATGTTACAACAAACAGGTGTCAGTTCTTTAGGTGGGCAGACATTCCAACATATTCCACCTGCCCATAGCGACCGGGGCTCGACAATATCCCAACCAACAGCGTTGCTCGGGGTTCGACAACATCCCAACCAGAGAATGTTGCACCAGACATGCCCCTTCTACATTTTAAAAAGAATGTTATCATAATTTTTAGGGTAATTTTGTTATGTTTTTTGTTTTTTAATAGACCTGTAGATAGTCCCCATTGAGTGAGGACTATATCTTTTTTTGGACTGTTATGTTGTATTTTTTTGGATTTTAGTATATTGAATTTGTTCTCATTATATTACTGTTGCAAACAGCTCCACTACGCATGGCTGAAATGGTCATTTTTCCACCAACAACTGCAAATCAGCTGTTTCCAAACCGCAGACACCAAACAATTTAACAACTTATTCAATTCATGGGCAAAATGGTCTTTTATTCACAAACATCTGCAAATCAACTGTTTTCCAAACTCACGAACCAAACTCACGAACCAAACAGACAAATAGCTTATCATGATTAGCTGCAGATACACAGCTTATCAGCATAAGCTGGATAAGCTGCAGCTACCCCAAACAGACCCTAAATCTATTGAAGTAAAATTAGTTGAATATAAATTGTGCTGTCTTGATTAACTCAGTTTTATTGAATGCGTTGAAGGAATCAATTAGATTCAAAAATATGAAAGACAAATAATTTTATATTTCTCCTTACAAAATGGTTATCTGCTATTGAATTTACTGAAGTTACATATAAATAATTATATAAGTATTAGAACTAAGAAATGATATAAATTTGTCATGTCTTAACTCTACGAAAAGAGCATCCATGATCAAACCCTTTAACATCCATAGAATTAATGAATAATTATTTATTTTTTATCACAAAATAAAGTTATGTTGTGAGTACAATATTATTGTTTTTTATCACTTATATTTTACAATATTATTTTTAATACTTAAATTAAAGGCATAACAAATGGCTTCAAGCATTTGTTAATTTTACAAAATTAAAGGCATATTTTGTAGATATATGCCTTTAATACTTAAATAAATACTTAAATAAAGTTATGTTGTGATCACAAATTAAAGGAATATTTTACAAAATTATTTATAGATATATCTCAAGCTTCATTAATTAAAGCTAAAAAAAAATCATCTTCAAGCATTTCAATAATAAAACATGCTTTTGTAATGAATGTAAATCTATTGACACCCTTCTAATATCAAAAGCTGTTAACTTTACATTTCATAGAGCATTCTTTAGCATCACATTATTTATGGTATGCATAATGCTTAGCTAAAAACTATATAAATTCAAAAAAAAAATACATTTTCTTGGATCTTATATTTATCATACTCATCATGCAATAAAGAAGTTAATAATTGTTAACCTCGAAATATCTCTCACAATTAGGGTTGTAAACGAGCCGAGCTTGAGCGAGCTCAGGCTTGGCTCGTGTTCGGCTCATTCGAAATAACTCGTTTTCGAAATCGTGTGTTTGGCTCGTGTTCGGCTCGAAATTGGCTCGTTAAACTAAAATTGAGAAAAATAGATGTAAATTATGGGATTCGAACCTAGATCAAATCTATACAAAAGAAGACACTAACCACATTGCCACATGAGGTGTTATGATTTAAACTTGACATAAATATATGTAATATATTGTTATATAAAAAGTTATATAATTTTTTTTTTCGAGCCATTTCGAGCCGAACACGAGCGAACAAAATGTTATTCATGTTCGGCTCGTTTACATTTCGACCTTAAAAGTTTGCTTGTGTTCGACTCGTTAGGAGCCGAACACGAGCTGTTCACAAACAACGAGCCAAATTGACAACCTTACTCACAATCAACTGAAAACATTTATTGTAATATGATCAGATTGCTTTTGAAATCTAAAAATTATATTTTGATTTTGTTTCATCAAACTATCATAATTTCATGTGTATTATTTTGTTAGAGTGACCAATATGAATGTCAAATCCATTCAGATTTTTTCTTTTAATTTAAGAATCTCTTCAAATTAAATACTTTATTGTCATCGTTTTACTGCTTTGCAAGTACATTCGTTGAATTTAATCTTGAACATTTGGATCATACTCCACTATTTCTATGCATAAATCAAAATCGTAGTGAATATTTTACAAATCAATTGTTTTCTTTTTAATAATTCAATCTCCAAATGGCATTTTTTCTGCACTTCGTTCATCATTTTTATCATTTGTTTCCTTTAAACTTCTTAATAACTTTCGTACTTTTAAAAATAATTTTCATAGTTAAAATCTTGATTAAATAAATATAGTTCTTCAAAATATTATATTTAACATTGAAATTTGTAATCTCCTACTTGATAGAAATCTATAAATAATGACCAATAAATTTAATTGATTTTTAGTGTAACACAGTATTTTTTTTTTTTTGTGATACATTTTAATTTGATATCATAACACTATAAAATAAAACAATTATATAACTATCAATGTATTGCGGTGGCGCCTACTTGATTCGTGACACCTCAACATTGGACTCTGAATGCAAATAACGCACGTAGTCCATATGTAATATTTTCTCAAATTTCGGACACCCTCTATCAACCTCTGACCTCTATCAACCTCTGAATGTTTTATACTTTATATATTTACAAATGATATTTATCATTTCTTAAGTAAAATAAATTTAAATCTTCTTGGATTTTGAGTAATGAGGTCAGAACGTTTGTCGACCAAGTATTTAAAAATTAAAATCTGCAACATTTGATGTATGATATGTCAAATTTAGATATTATTATAGCAGCTTGAAAAAGGGTTATCAGCGTGAAAATCGCGTGAGATCTCCTAAACAAACGAGTTATCCAGCAAGCAAGTTATACATAGCACTCTAAAATTTACTATTTATAAAACTAGCATCCTCTTTCATCCATACTTCAAAATGTCACTAAAAAATCAAAATCCACAATATAATCCCAACACATATCTTTCATTTTTATTAAATTCTCAGTGATTTGATTATGGTCTTTCTAAATACACCACCGATAGTCCAAATAAATGGCTTATGTGCTAACTAAATAAATAAGAAAGTTACGGGTTCTATGCAAATAACAGCTGCCGAGATAAGAAAAAAAAAAGGACCAAATTTATGTCGTTCAGAATCTTCAGATGGACTTTACATCCTTTGGAGGAGGTCGATCAACAATCTCTATAGAAGTTCGAAAATAACGCTCTCAATCTCAACCTCCTGCTTTTATTCTTACAATTAGTATCTCAATAATATTTATGTAATTAAAAGCTTAAGGATTAAAAAAGCCTTCGGGATTAAAAAGTTATTTCTAATGACGAAGGAATGGGTATAGATAGACTTTGATCAACCAATCTGATTTTTGAAGTCTTTGGGTTAGCAATCAATAAAACTGATTATGTCGAAAAAAAGATTAATCAACAATATATCAGATTTATGTGGTTTGGATGGAAAATCTATAACATGTTATGTAAAACAATGACAAAAATAAATTCATACAACTAGCAAACAATCAAACACGATGCAATTTATATGGCTTGGCCCAAATTCGCCTATATCC